CTTATGCCAATGTGTTACTCAGTGAAAGTGTTCTTTCTCAATGTATATACTCAATCTCAAGTAATGATCATTAATCAGTCTAGTGACCCTATAGATATAGGGGTGGATTGATTGCATTTTCTTGGACTGAAAGAAGGCCTTCGGCACAGTTCCTCACAAGAGATTAGAGCAGAAGCTAGAGGATTAGGCACATATAACAGGAAGGGCACTGCAATGGATCAGTTCACTGGTCAGTCTGATTGTGATTTCCCTAACTGCTATACAGAAGAGAAATGGTGCAAGAGGATCCCCTTGCTGGACACCCTCTGATAATGTGATTTCATGCTCTCCAAACAGGGGCATTGATATATATATATATATATATATATATATATATATATATATATATATATATGTGTGTGTGTGTGTGTGTGTGTGTGTGTTGATTGTGACTGTTAAATAAGCCAAAGAAAGTTCCTAGTACCAGCCCTTTGGTAAAAAAATTGAGAAACACGATAGAGTTAAAATAAAGAGTTTGTAGAAAAATACGAAAGTAGCATAAGTTTAGCAGAGCTTGCCAGGATGTATGGGAAGTCGAAATCAACAATTTTTTCCATCCTGGCAAAAAAGTAGAAATCAAGGAAGCTAAATTTGCGACAGGGGTGAATATGCTAGCGAAACAGAGATCACAAGCAATGGAAGATGTGGAGAAGTTGTTGTTGGTGTGGATAACAACGAAAAACAGTTAGTGAGAAATAGTGTTGTTGAGTCGTTCATTGAGAAAAGGCAAGGTAGTTACATGTGGATCTCGTAAAGAAAATGCCTGGAGCGAGTGCTGCTGTATGTGAATTAAGGCCAGCAGAGGCTGGTTCGACAGATTCAAAAAGCGTAGTGGCATACAGTGTTGTAAGGCATGGTGAGGCTGCACATTCAGACAAACGTGCAGTTGCACGAATTCAAGTATTACGTAGAGGCTGAAGGATTCCTTCCCTAACAAGTGTTCAGTTGTGACGAAACAGGATTTTTTGGAAGAAAATGCCAAAGAGGACCTACATCACGAAGGAGGAAAAGGCACTGCCAGGACACAAGCCTATGAAGGATAGGCTTACTCTTTTGTTCTTTGGTAACTCTAGTGGGGATTTCAAATTGAAGCTTTTATTTGTGTATCACTCTGAAAATCCCAGAGTGTTCAAGAAAAACAATGTCATGAAGAATAAATTGTGTGGTGTGGAAAGCTAATAAGGCATGGGTCAACAGGCAAATTTTCACTGACTGAGTCCATGCAGTGTTTGGCCCGAGTGAAAAAATACCTCCTGGAAAATAAATTGCCACTCAGGTGCTTCCTGGTTAAAAAAAAAAAAAAAAAAAAACTGGACAATCCTCCTGTTCATCCTCCAGACTTGGAAGACCAATTGTTTAGGAACTTGAGTTTTATAACAGTGAAGTTCTTGCCTCCTAACACCACTCCTCTCATCCAGCCCATGGACCAGCAGGTCATTTCTAACTTCCAAAAACTCTACACGAAAGCAATGTTCCAAAGGTGCTTTGAATGACCTCGGACACTGAATTGACCTTATGAGAGTTCTGGAGGGATCACTTCAATATCCTCCATTACGTAAGTCTTATAGGTAAGGCTTAGCAGGAAGTAAATTCCAGGACTTTAAACTCTGCTTAGAGAAAACTGTGGCCAGAATGTGTCATCGACAAAGATTTTGAAGGGTTTGAGGCGGACATTGCCGACCCTATGCCTGTTGTGGAAAGTATGGTGTCTTTCGGGACGTCCATGGGGTTGGATGTGAGTTGCCAGGATGTGGAAGAGTTGGAGGATCACATGTAATAACTAACCACTGAAAAGCTGCAAGACCTTCAACTGGAACGGCAACACACTGCAGCTGAGAATATTGCTTCGGAGGAAGCGAAAGAGAGAGGAAAGGAGGTGCCTTCTTCATTGATTAAGAACATATGTGCAAAATGGAATGAGTTGCAAACATTTCTTGAATAATATCACCCTGACCAAGCTGAAACAAGCCATATGTGCAAAGTTTTCAGTGACAAAACCTTCTCCCACTTCAGGCAAATCTTGAAGAGACGCCAGAAACAGTTCTCAGGACAGTTTTTTTTTTTTTTTGTGCGACACGGGTCGAGTAACTGTCAAGCTGGTCCTAGTGGCAGTAAAAGACAAAGACGGGAAGTAACCCCAGGAAGAGCTTAGATTCCTAAAATCGTTATGAAGGGGGATTCCCCTTACAAATAATACCCTCAACTCCCTCTCCCCTCCTCACCTTTATTACACCAACAATCTTTAGTAACGGTATGTAATGTTTGTATTTACTTATATTTATTTATCATTGCTTTCTGTATGTAAAACTATAGTTATTCTTTAAAAAATAATTTTTTTTGTGAAGATTTTTGGGTGTCTGGAATGGATTAATTGTATTTACATTGTCTTAAAGGAAATATTACTTCGGTTTTTGCACTTTTCGGATATATGCAATAAGATCACAATAAACAGGTGATATCA